AACAATCTTGTGACTGACAGGCAATGGAGGCGTGTCAGCAGCCGGAGCAGAGGAGGAGGCTCAGAGGAGAGAGAGATAGATGGAGAGAGAGAGAGACAGTGAGGGGGTGGAGCTCGCGAGCAAGACATAGAAAGAGAAAGAGAGTGAGCCAGGGGAAGAAGAATTGTGAAGGAGGAAAGAGAACAAACTGATAGATACTGAGAGAAGAGAACAAAGGACAAGAGTGTGAGCATTTTAGTCATCGAGAAAAAAGAAAAAAAAAACATGATTGTCAGAAAAGTGCGATCGCTGAAAGGCAGAGAGAGAAAAAGTGAGGAGAATGACAATACAGACAGGAACACAATCCAAAAACGACAGGGCAGATTGCTGGAGATGTACACTCTTCTTTTGAGAGTTTGTACGAGTGTGGGTGTTTCTTCCATTACGAGTACATTTCTGTCATGGTTGATTTTTATTAAAACAGATTTCAGCTTTTTCTTTTTGTTATATGAAGGTCACATTCATGGGAACTTTTTTTACAGTGCCTTTTTTTAATTTATCTTTGGTTCTTTTCAAATGCATTTTATGAATGATTGTTTTAACCTTTGCCTCGGACCCAGACTTTCAATCGTAACTGTATGCATTTTATGTGTAGATTGATTCGTTTAACTCTTGCCTCAATCTTAGACTATGGAATTATTTTCTAAAAATATGTAAAAAAAAAAAAAAAAGTTAATCTAAACAAAGAGTGAAATAATCATAAACCACTTCAATACTTATTACAATGACAGCTTCTTTCTTTCAAGATTTCAGCTTGTTCTTTTTGTTATATGAAGGTCACATTCATGGAAACCTTTTAAAATGCCTTCTTTTATTTATTTTTTTTAAAATATTTTTTCAAATGCATTTTATGTATAGAATGATTTGTTTAACCATTGCCTCAGACACGACTTTAAATCTTAAATTTTGAAAATGTATCGTAAAATATATATATAATAAAAAGCATGATAATCTAAAAAAAGAAAAGGAAAAGAAATAATCATACATTTTTTATTAAAATGTTTTTTTTTTTTAAAGACGACTTCCAAAAATGGTAATTTCTACAACAACCACATATTTTGCCCCTAATCAAGTTTTTCCAAAGGTAAGTATACTCGGTTACAAAGAAGATAAATTCAACCATTTTGTTCCAAAAATGGTAAAATGTTATTTTCACCACATAATGTTATCAAATACAACATAATTTGAGATGCTGTAACAATGTACAAATATTTCAGAAAAATGACAGAATTCTCCTGTGATGCCTGTTTCTGTCTCCACTGACAAATTAATTAAACTAGTGAGAGTGTGAAAAGCACGTTTTAGGACAGTTTATTTTCTGAAAGTCTACAGGGCCAAATGTGCCTATAGTTGAAGAAGCACTTGTGTGTGTGAGAGAGAGAGAGAGAATAAGAGGGAGGGGCGAGAGATTGAGAGAGTTTGTGTGAGGTAGAGAGTGTGATGGTGATAGAGCTTTCAGTTCTTTGTGTGTGTGTGTGTGTTTGTGTGCTGGTCAATACTCAGCAGTGTAGCAGCTCTCAGCCGCCCAGCAGGAAAAATCCCATCATTCTCTGCATACCGCACAAATTCCAGCTCGGCTTTCACCTCCTGGCCCCTCTCTCTTCCCCCTTCCCTCTCTCTCTCTCTCTCTCTCTCTCTCTCTCTCTCTCTCTCTCTCTCTCTGCATCCTTGATGTTTCAAAGCATGCCAGGTGGGCTAAATATAGCAGATTCTTTTTCCCTGTTCAGCAGTCTTTGAGACTGGGAAGCTGGCCCTAGATTTAGGGACGGCGAGCTGACAGAGAAGAAAAATATAGTTTAGCAAGCCTGGATTCAATCAACAACTGCACACTATAAATATACCTGTGATTTTCATGTTAATTAATACACTGGTTTCTGGTTCTCACTCAGTGTATGATGTAAATAACTGTAATTACTGTAAACAATATAATTTTAAATTGATCAACCCAAATTTTGTTACATGAACCCATCATACTAACACAATAAACTGAACATAAATCAATGTTCACAGCAAAGGTCTTAAGTTTACAGTGGTGGCTCTAAATAGCAAAAACTTAATTATGTAAAATTAAGTTTTCTAATTCCAAGCCATGCTCTTGCCATAGATTGGTGATTTGCTATCTCTGAATGAAGGGTATTAGTTCAGAAGGAGCGTTGTTGTCTCTTTCCTCCTTTTATCTGGTCTTTAGGGGTTTCACTTTTTTAAATGTCTATTCCTACAACCCCAATAATATTGGCTAATCAGTGGGACTGGCTGAGGTCCCTTTGCTTTGTAGTTTGATTATAATGTTCCTTTCAATGAGTTATATTACTCTCTACAATTCAGCATTCTGCTTTGAATCAATGGACTTGGTTGTTTGATTGTTTGATGTTTGATTGTTGTCTCATAAAAGAAACAACTCTAAAATAGATTGTTACTTTGAAATGGACACAAGCTTAATACTTAATTCACATTTATTATTACTAATTAAGTAATTATTACTTATTATTATTAAGCAAGGTTGCATTAAGCAGATTAAAAGTCACAACCAACATTGATAATAATAGGAAATGTTTCTTGATCAGCAAATCAGCATATTAGAATGATTTATGAAGGATCACGTAAAACTGTAGACTAGAGTAATGGCTTTGCTTTCACAGGAATAAATTACATTTTAAAATATGAATATAGCACCATGGTGACATTTACTGTAGGTGAAGCAAGAAAAAGTCATTAGAGTGAAGTTTCCTGAAAAGGAAACTAAACCTGAAACATTTTGTGACATTGTATGAGCTGTGTTCAATCCTCATTTATTTGCTCTCCAAATATTGACAAGGGTGGCCCATTTTCTGAGCTTAAGTGATTGGTACACTAAACTGAATAACATGCAACAAATCTCTATTCTAACATCAAAGCCACCTTTCATACAACACTGCATTTAGTCCTTGGCAAGAGGAAAAATGCTTAGCAGTGCCTTTTAATACGGTTGCCGAGAAGTGCAAAACAAATCACAATTCTGAAAACAAAATAACAAATTACAAATGCAAATGCAAGTCTAAAAAACAAAATAACAAGTCAGAAAACACAACGACAAATCCGAAAACAAATTAACAAGTCAGAAAACACAACGACAAATCCGAAAACAAATTAACAAGTCAGAAAACACAACGACAAATCCGAAAACAAATTAACAAGTCAGAAAACACAACGACAAATCAGACAAACCGGAAGAGGTAGGTATAGTTTGAGACAGCGCCATTGGTTTGGGATTACTCACCGCTGACTGGACGAGACATCTGTCAATCAACGTATACAGGAAGAACCAGCCGAAGAGCAGCAGAGTCGTGGTAGAAAGTTCGGAGATGGTATTAAAGTAGCTCAGTTTAAATGTATTGTATGAATTGCCCTTACTATGGAATAAAAAAATACGGAGTGTCTATTTACACTTAGTGCAAATAGCCCGCCTTCTTGGCAGTAATTCCGCTCGCCAACGTGTGATTGGGTTAGTCAACACTTTAAAAGTAGCTGTATATTATCAGCTTCAATGGCGCAGATGGTTAGGTGCGTGTCGTTGGCTTTTTGACGCGATCGATCTGGGTTCGATCCCACCTTTTGCCGAACTTTTTTTTCCCTCCCTTTTCAAATCTCGTATTAGCAATGGATTCTATTTTTAGAAATATGCTATTTAAACTAAGTGCAAATACCTATTTACACTATGTTAAAATAGCAGGATTTCTATGTATACTACTTGTTGCAAATAGTGGCAATTATCTGCACTTCAGTATTCCATCCCTACCCTACCCCTAACCCCACCCGATACTTTATTTTCAACTTTTTGATTATTTCCTTAATTTTTACTGAAAATAAATGCCTTCACGATGTGATACGAGATTTGAAAAGGGAGAAAAAAAGGTTCGGCAAAAGGCGGGATCGAACCCGGGTCGATCGCGTCAAAAAGCAGATGACACGCGCTTATCCATCTGCGCCACTGGAGCTAATAATATATAGTTGCTTTTAAAGTGTTGACTAACCCAATCACACGTTGGAGAAGTGTTTTCTGACTTGTTATAATGTTTTCTGAATTGTTGTTGTGTTTTCTGAATTGTTATTTTGTTTTTTAGACTTGCATTTGCATTTGTAATTTGTTATTTTGTTTTCAGAATTGTGATTTGTTTTGCACTTCTCTGCCACCGTACTTTTACAATAAGGCAGTCATTTTCAATAACATTAAAATCATGTTCCAGCCTCTTTTTCCCAGTACAGACTGAGAGCAGTGGAAGAACACGTCAGTCGAGACAATAAAATGAAAGATATTGTCCCCCGAAGCCCTTTTAGCACCTTGTGACAAAGTGACCCTTTTTAAATATATGTGGAAAAAACAAAGTGTTCGGCCGCCAGTTGATCGTGGTCTTTAAATGGACTGAGGGGAGTGCTTCAGTCACCGCTGTCAGGAGCTGACGACAGGCTTTCGCCAATTTTTCTTTCCATTAATGAACAGAATAGAGGAGGACTGAGTATAAAAAAATAGTGTTTCCACTGCTTCTCTTTTTTTCTTTCTTTTCAATATTCTGTGCTTCAAATGTCTTAAGATGGCCAGATATCTCTTGCTTCTTTATAGCCTAATTATTATTTTTTTTCAAGAACTGTCCAGGTTAAAATCGTAGTCCCAGATTTTCAGTGGGTCACAAGGGTATGATGAAAAGTGTCTACCTAATGTGCAAACGTCCATAAATCATATCAGATAAACCAATTTGAGATCCTGGAGGAGGGAAGAGAAAGCGACTGTCAATCTTGCTAATGTGAGGGAATTTTACCGGTCGGATGAGTCTCTGAACATGTTTTTCTCACACTGGAGATTCCGAGCTTCATCTGTGATGTCATTTGACTGAGGATTCAATAAGACGTGGGCTTCAAAAACAGCAACACGTAAAGGCTCCCAAATGCCCCAGTGATGCAATGAAGGGGCGAGTATATATGTGTGTGTTTACCTTCAGTATGATGAAATCAGATCATTACTCTAATGATCAGAGTAAGAAGAGATTGTGTAATATTATAAATCCCTCTAATGGTTAAAAGTTTAACCTGGAATACGGATGCAATCCTTCCAGTGGTCCTACTGGGGAAAAGGGGGAGGATGATTATGGATATCTTTAGAATCTGAAGGAGGAATACTTTCATCTGCAATGATCTGAGGAAACAAATTACTCATTCACAGACTCTAAATGATGTGTAATTTTGTATTGTGTATACTTTTCAATTCTAAATTTAAATCTAAATCTAAAAACATACTGGTAAAAAATGTATAGCCTGAATGCACTGTCAGTTGCTTTGGAAGCATCTGCTAAGTGCATAAATTATTATTATTAATAAATTTACAGTACAGTTTTTTTATATATATGCAATTTTCAATACTGAGCAACATCTATGTAACATAACAAATGTGGAATGCAACATATAGATATTTTCAAAGGGGTTTTTTGGCATGATGTGAATAGGATGACCTTTCTCAAGTTGCAACGCTGAGAAAAAAAAAAGTGTGATATTACTCCTTTTGCCTTCCAAGTCTGTGAGCAGCTTCTAGACCAGGGATCCTCAAATCTGGCCCACGAGATCCACTTTCCTGCAGAGTTT